TAGCTATATATGTAGATATAGTTATAGTTATATATTAATATCTATCTATATGTCATTTATATATATATATATGTGTGTGTGTGTGTGTGCATGTCAGTTTAATCGTATTTTTATTGCTCAATTGATTAATATATATATATATATATTGATAGGCGTGTTTGTTTGTGTTTGTGTATATATGCATACATAAGTATGTATTTCTGTATGGAAGTATACAAACATATATAAATTCATTCACACGCACTCACACACACATATATATATATATGTATATATACGTGTATGTGTTTATTTGAATTTGTATTTGTATTTGTATTTTTATTTATATATTTATATCTATATGTATATATATTTATATACGTCATGATAATGGTGTAGTGTTATGCATGGCTATAAAGTTGCGTTTTGACGTGTGACTCCACCATATTTCAGGAGATAGAGGTCGAAACAGCTATGAAGAGGGAGTGGTCTCGTCACTGCATGAAACTCGATAACGAACTAATGCACGGCCAACAAATGAGATATAAACTCAGACAGAACGCCCTTGCTCGACTTAGAAGGTAATACGCACGCACTCACACATATATATATCGTCAAATATACATGCGTCAGTGATTTGCTCTGATACTTGCTTGTATGCTGCGTTATGTGGGTAGTGTGTGGTGGCTTTGTGTGTATAGTTGGTGAGAATGCAATTCAAGTCGTTGATGAAAAAGGCTTGACTTACAAGAACACTGTTGGACATTCTGTACTGACTCTGCAGTAATGCAAAAAAATGCATATAACCTTATATTCACATTGGCTTTCTTTGCAAAATATACCGACAGTCATTTAATGCATAAATATGAATCATGACGCCCATAACACTACAAATAGAAGTCTTGACATATAATCAACTGGCGATGGCTGCATATAGTGCTGTTTTATTGATCAGATAGTTGGTCACATCCAACCATGAGTATCGTTAAAATTATTATGCTCTATTCACAACCGATAGCCACATTTTATTAATAAATCAGGATTGATGAGAAATTGTGGGATGCCGCGATCGTCCCAGACCGCACGCCTTTCCCGTTAGCGCGCGAAGTACCCGTCGATACTCCACCTATTGATAACTTTGTACCCATCAGTAATACGAGCACAAAATAAAGCATCTGTCATGGCGATGGTTTACTGTCATAGGGATTTGGGATTCATCGTGTGTGTGTTTATGTTCAAATTACTATCGGACACGGTTTTCCTATAGTGAATCGCCCCACCCGAGATCACGAGGGACAATCAAAGAGGAGGGAGTGGAGGTAGCTAGTGAAGTATGGCTACATGTACAACCGGATATACAAGATTAAAGATGGGAGTACAACCGAATATACAACATCAAGTACAAGAGTACAGTCAAATATACAATCTTAAGGATGGAAGCACAGCCGAATATACAACACTAAAGATGAAAGTATAGTCGAATATACAGCAATAAAGATGAAAGTACAGCCGAATATACAACATAAGTACGAAAAAACAGCCAAATATATAACATTGAGGTTGAAAGTACAGCCGAATAGACAGCATTCAAGATGAAAGTACAGCCGAATATACAGCATTCAAGATAAAAGTTTGTTCAACAATCAGTTCACGATGCAACGTTTATTTCGATTACAATTATGGATTGAAGTTTACCTCTACCGTATCAGTGACTACAATACATACTCGTTAAAACGCCCATATCGAGCGTGCTGTATATTATCAAAATATTACGCTCTCCCTTCCGAAAGCACTGTCTTGAATGCTGATGGCATAGATTTACGGACACTCAGAGGCACCATCATTTTTACCCCGTCGAGCTCACCAGCGCCCAATATCTTACCCCAAAAAGATTTGGAATTAAATTCAGAAAGCCATGTACACTTGGTACTATGTACACTTGGTACTCGTGCTGAACATGCTAACATTCAACCTTATCACTTTCAAGTTTCTACAGCTCAACACTGTATCAAGTAAAACACTCGTATTTTTAAATCCGCACACCTCCAACTCGGTAAGTGCAGCAGAGTGTACACTAGTATCAAGGACCGAGTTAGCACGAAGCTCCGGGAGCTGGGGAAGACCAGCAATCACGTCCTTCACAAACCGTGTACACAGCTGAGAATTGATACGTAGGGTACGTAGTCCTCTGGGCCAATTACAATCCGAAAAAAATAGCAGTGAACCAGGGACGCGCTTTGGCTTCGGATACAATCCTGATTCGAAATCTGCATCTTCACTCACAGAGAGCCATTCCAAACTGCGTATGGCGCTTCCGTACGGAATTTGGAATTGTAATTCCATCGCTAGTTTTCTTAGTGAAGCTGAGTAAATCGGTTGCCTAAACGACGTAACGAAAAACGTCCGACGTTGGGAAAGAGATACAAATCGACTTCTGGTAGGCCTTCCTGAGACTCTCCCTGAATATGCTTGATAATATCACTCCAAACACATGCGCGCTCTGAACCTTTACCAATAACAAAATATTGCGAATCGGTCAGCGCAGGACAGTTCTTGAACGCATCCGTTGCATGCACTGAGCATAATCTTAGCGATCGAAGACTATTCTTAACGAGCGGTTCATCGTCGATGCCTTCGCCATGCAATCCAAGAGTTTTTAAATTAGGACATCTCACCAGTAGCTCGTTCACGGTACCCTCTATCGAACCCATCCAGTAGTCCAGATATTGTAAGCTGGCCGACTGGATTAGAGGCGAATCAATCGATTTGAGCCCGTCGTCTGATGTCACGGTCAGACGTGTCAGGCTTGCAAGATCCATTTTTTGGCAGACACGCCAAAAGGTGAACCATATGCCCTTGTGTGACAGTCGTATTGTCGAGTCCTACCTCGATGTTCTTGAGTTCTGGTGTAGCCATCGCAATAGCATCTATGTCGGCACTGGAAACGGAGATAAAATTGAGCGTCGTCGATATAGTCCACGTACGAAGATTGGGATAGCGACAAAATACCTGGTGTGCAAAACAATAGAAGTTGCATATGAGTGAATGCTTTATACGAAGAACAAACAATCATCCCATATATGAATTCATCATGTCCACAGCATGCATTTAGCCACCTGCTTTGTGAAGTTTGAGTAATGTGATATTTTGTTCAGCAGATTACACCGATGTGTCGAATGAGCGAAGGGTTCACGAGGAGGAAACAGGGCTTCGAAATATATTCGTGCCTGATTTCATACTCTCGAGTATGGGATTTACCTTGAATCAATTCCAAAACCCATCACATACCTCAAGTGTTTCAGGTAGACCAACAATTGCCTCGTCTAGTCGACCTCCTGTCTTATATGCGACCTCAGGGATTGTAGTCCATGTTCGTACGTCAGTCACTATGCTGTAGAACGATCTACAGACCAGGCGACACTCCATAAGCGACTCAAAGTCTCTACCCATTCGAGGATGTTGAACATGATCTCCGGTGGTATCTTCGTACCATTCAGGCAGATTGGCTCTCTAGCTCCACTTTGTTTCAGTTCGTGTGCAGTCCTCTCCGCAACAAGCGTCTGCAGGCGTGAGTGTACAGCCAAAAGCGTATCGCAATCAAACGCCTCTAATCTCGCCATTGCAACATCAACCGTATCTTCGTTGAACACCAACTCTCTGGTTCGCTCTGTGCTGGCCATTTTCGTCAATAGGTGTGTGATATTCTCCGCTGAAAAACATGTTACGAAGAGAATAGTTTACACGAATAAATTGGTGTAGCGCTTCTCTGTTTGTAAATATGTGTTTGTTTGCAAGTGTGCTAGTGAACTTTTTTTCTCGTGTCATGAATACATACATGTAAGTGACCGTGACAATACAAGCCTATAAATAAATATCACGCACTGTTGACTAAGTATTGAATGGGTTGACTCGGCTAGCGTTGATTTGTTATATATCAACTTTCCGCGAATCAATAAGAGTTTGCAGATAATTTGAGCCTTCCAAGAGAATCGGAAAACTGTTGCAAGCTACTGCCGCCATCGCTTGCAACTACTGGTTACATAATCTGCTTGATGTCGAAGTAATTGAGAACAGCGAATCACAATGAAACAATGTATATACATTATGAGTGCCATGTAGATTGCACGTATGGTTCTATCCGCGCAACTATCTGTCTGCGCCTGTACCGAACTATTGCGTGACATTGCTTCCGACAGCGTGGTCATACACGTGGATTGGTGAAATAACACTTCATCTACAAGAGCATAAGCATGCCTACCAATACAAACTCTACTGCTCGCCGTACTGTAGCAATTTTTGCTTTCAAATCAATCGCAAATATATTGTATCATGGAGACCGCAAATACTACAAGGTGTATAGATGGTATAGATTATACGAAGGTAGATGCACAGTAACATATATAATCCTCGTGCATACTATAATCCGTGGTGCAAAAAGCAGCACCTATTTTGAAAAGTGCCACTTACACGGGGGCATATACCGATTAAAAGCAGAAGCATCAGCGTCAGTGTTGCCCACATTAAGAAACACAGATTTAAAGATTGAACCACAACGGAGAGCAGATGATCTATTTACTCAACGGTCAAACTTGTCTTAGAAACACAAGCCCCCACAAACACACACATACACACACACATGCACACAACCATACATTACATACAAACACACACACACACACACAACACACACACACATATATATATGTGTGTGTGTGTGTGTGTAGTGTGTGTGTGTGTGTGTG